CTCTCTCTCTCTCTCTCTCTCTCTCTCTCTCTCTCTCTCTCTCTCTCTCTCTCTCTCTCTCTCTCTCGCTCTCTCTCGCTCTCTCTCGCTCTCCCTCGCCACCAGGGAGAGACGCTGGAAGGGGTGCTGCTGACGAGCGAGTTGAATTCGGCGCCGCGCTCGCAGTTGAGCAGAACGACCAAGCGGCCCGTGCGTGTGTTGGGCGTTGTCGGTCGCGCCATCGTGACGCACATGGCTGGAGATGGTGCCGGTCATGGGAATGGCGATGTGGTGGTGTCGACTGCAAGACCCGCAGACCGTTTGAATGCCATGCTGAGACACGCACGTGAGCGCGTGACGGGCACAAAAGGCAGCAGCAGTGCCAGTGGCAGTTGTGTGCGTGTGGATGGCGATTGCGAATGGGACGCGTTCATGTGGAGCGATGGCTCTCTTTCGGCTGTCGAGCAATCTCTCCACCAGGTTTGTGCAATCTGCGATGGGTGTGGGTATTGTTGCTGTGCGCTTGATGGCGATGCACGCAAATGGCGCTGGGACACACACCCACAAATACACGCACTTACTCCCTTTGACTCGCTCATACACACACTCACTCACTCACTCACTCACACACTCACGCACGCACGCACTCACTCACTCACTCACTCACTCACTCACTCACTCACACACACTATTGCACATCTCTATCATCAGGCGGACATGCGGAAGTTTGCGTTTGGTGATGGTGCAATGTCGCTTTCAGCAGCGGCAATCACATGTGTCATTCGCTCTCTTCGCTTCTCCACTGCCATCACCGAGCTTGGTGCGACGCAGAGACTGCCTCCATGTGTCTCTCATTGTGTGTGTGTCTTTGTCTGTGTCTGTATCTGTGTGAGTGTGTGTGCGTGTGCCTATGCCTGTGTCTGTGTGTGGGTTATGTACTGTGCTGTGAGCATCCCATGTGCGGGTTCCATGTCGCCTGTTCACGCGTGTGAATTGATTGTGCGCGCCGCTCTGCAGACTTGTCCAACAGCCAGGCCAATGACCAGAGTTGCGTCATGCTCAGCACGTGTGTGTGGGCGTGGCCAAACCTGTCTCGCCTCTCTCTCGCCAGCTGCACCATCACCTCTGCGGTACGTTCAATGGACGTTTCAGGACGTGACATTTGGGGAGGGGGGGTTGACCACGCACTCGGAAGGAAAATGATGCAGACTTGCAGACTTGACTCTTGACCTGCACGGCAGCTCTCTCCTCTCACCACACACACACACACACACACACACACACACACACACACACACACACACACACACACACACACACACATGTATGCATGCTTACCCAACTCCTCCTCCTTCCTCCATCCCCCCCCCCAATGTTCATTGTGGTCGACAGGGTGTATGTGCGCTGCTGCGTGCTCGTCGCCCAGCGGGATCCACTGCGGATGTGTACGCAAAATTGAAGACCTTGGATGTTTCGCACAACGCACTGGATGGGCTCGACCAAAGCCTTGTTGGCTCCTTTCTCTCCGCTCACTTGCACACACGCGTGGTGCGGTCATTGAGCATTTGGACCTTTTGAGTGTCGTGTTCCGTATTGTGTGTTGGTGGCTGTTACGTTTGGCAAGGGCTGCGTGCACTCATTTCACAGCACACACACGCACACACACGCACACACACGCACACACACAAATGTACACGTACATACACACACACGCACACGCACATGCACCCTGCACCATCTGCACGTGCGCTCATGCCTTCCCGCAAACGTTTAGGTTGCCATTGGTTGTGGGCTGCGAGCACATGCGTGGCCACCACGCGTCATTGTCGCTGCCAGCGATGAGGAGTGCTGTACCAATGGGGGTGACGTCACAAGACAGCTCAGCCGGCATGTCGCAGCATTGAAGGTGGGATGGTGTTGTTGTTGTTGTTGTTGTTGTTGTTGTTGTTGTTGTTGTTGTTGTTGTTGTTGTTGTTGTTGTTGTTGTTGTTGTTGTTGTTGTTAAGTGCGCTCACACCTGTTCTGTTTGCTCAACACATCACAACGTGGAAAGCATGCACACTGTGACCGCAAACACGTACACACACGCACAACACTCTTCACACGCTCAGTCACACACACACTCACACACACTCACTCTCTCTCACACACTCACACACACTCTCTCTCTCACACATGTACATGCACACATTGTGGCACAGGTGAGCGCTGACACGCCCGCGCTGGATGCGAGCGGGACCGCCATGACCGAACACCGGTTCTCAACGCTCTTGCAGACGTTCTCATCGCACGCGTTCTTGAATCTACGCAGCATTCGTCTCTCCGCCTGCCACATCACAGTGCGTCCACTGCGTGTTCTAATGAAATGGATGAAATATCGCCATTGTCTGCGAGGCTGCTTTTACTCACACCTTGCAATTGCTTGCTTTTTGTCCTGTGACCCTCATCCTTCCACTGCACACCTTCACGTTGTGTGTGTGTGTGTGTGTGTGCTCAGGTTGCGATGGCCGCCGATGTGTTGCGTGCGCTGGATGCTAGCACGTGGGCGCGAAGAATCGACCTTGACCTATCGTTCAACCACATTGACACGCGCATGTGTCCACTGCACAGCCGAGATGAAGCAGCATCATCGAGCAGCGCCACGACCACTGCAACAATGGCAACGACGAGCAGCACAACGTGCGCGGGTGAAGCGCTGTGGCAAACAGTTGCAGACACGCTCGGGCGGTTTGCATCGATTGATTTGTCCTACAATCCGATTGCCGACGCGTGCAGGGCACACGCACAACACCGCCTCAATCCATCGTCGTCGCCTGTGTCATCTTCAGCAGCAGCACTTCAGCCGTCACCATCGGCACCATCAGCGCCCTCGCATTGCATGTTGCCGCGTGCGTTTGTCATCTTGAGTGATGTGCAACAGCTCGATGCCAGTCCACACGCGAGTGCACACACCACGTCTTCTTCTTCTTCTTCTTCTTCACAGCAACAGCAGCAACAACGGCGACAGCGAGGGTCACAGCTGCACGGCGTGCAGGAGGACAGTCAGGACTTGCATGAAGTTGCAGACAGCATGCTTCGCTGGCTCGAGAGCAACGAGTGGTGATTGTGTGTGTGTGTGTGTGTGTGATTGTATCTGTGTGTGTGTTGCTGGTATCGCTGTGTGAATGTGTACCTCCGTGTTGTTTGTATCGCTGTGTGTGTGTGTGTTGCTGTTATCGCTGTGTGAGTGTGAGTGTGATTGTGCATAGCGCCCCAAACCCGCCATGCTTGCGTTGGTCCCATTTCTTGTCGGGGCTAGGTCTTCGAGGAGTGTTCCATTTTGAATCAGGCTTCCATATCCAAATTGAACAATAACAGGCGAACGCGGCACGGGTCATTCGCGTTGAGCACACAAGCGAAACAGAAGCAGAACACACAGACAGACAAGAGAGAAAGGGAGGGATTCAAGGCCAAGCACGCATGATGGCAGGGTGGGTGTGTTGCACTGTGTAACACTTCAACAGCACCTGAATTCACCCCATAAAGTAAACAGCAATAACTAATGCACAGATGTAACCAAGCAAGGAGAAGGGTGCAAGCGGTGGCGGTGATGCAATTCAGACCTCAGGTGAGGACACCATCCCATTGGTGCCACAAGGGCGTCTCACTGGCATCATCACATCAGTCCCACAGTGGCATCACAACACCAGCATCGAAACAGCAGCACGCAGCGTCATCGCCACCACAGTACGTGCAGTGGCACGACATGTTGCTGCTTTTGTTTGTTTGCCAGTTGGGCTACGGGAAGATGAGACGGTCGCGTGAGGTAATGACGTCACGGCACCACGGGCACGTGTCGGAGATTTCCTCCACACACTGCGAACAGATGCAGTGGCCGCAGTTGAGGCGGATGTTCACGGGCCTGCGGACAAGCG